CTATATCCACGTTTCATTTTTAGCTTCCTTAGGCCAATGTTTCCTAGTGAATTATACAACTAATATACTTAAGTTTTACATCTTTAGAAAACACTGCCACCTTGGATTTAAGTTTCAAATCAAGTCTTATGTTAACACTAACCATTATAGAAATATCCTCTGTAGTTATACTTAAATTATTTTGATCAGTCTATGTTAAACTTAAGACACAGACACTGTGTTCAGAAATTCTATCATATCAAAATTCTCATTGGCGCCACAAATAAATATGCTTCACTGTGCAATATTATTCATGTCTGTGCAACAGAAAACACCACAAATAAATTACCCTCTTCAAGCAACCTATCCAATAAATTCTAAGCCATATCTTTAATATGCCAAACAACAGCATTTCTGATTAGATTTGCATGTGAAACTTAAAAATACATTGCGTGCCTCAATCAATAGACACTCTTTTGTAAACTTGTCATCTACAAAAAAGCTAATATCTGGGCAATCTTTTCCCTTAATATATAACTACATAATTGCATTTTACAACAACATTGCTTATTTTATTCATTTTCCAAAATAAACCCAGTTGAAATTTCGGTCCTTTTCTTGAATTCATTGTTTTTCATTACACAGTTTTTCTGTGTACTGGCCATAGTTTCTACTATGTTTTGTTTCATAATGGGCTTTTAAGTTGTATTCATTTGACAGAAACACACTTTGTTTGCATATTTAAAACACAGGAATTTTTTTACTTCTACTTTAAAGAAATTTGTTCTTTCCCATTTTCTTGAAACACCTTCTCAGTCTAGCTTTCATTCTCCTACTTTGGATAGAGATGTGGGTACCGTATTTTATTTTCTTCTTATATTTTCTATAAGAATAATAACACAAAAAAGATGATAAATTACAACTTGATACACAAGATATGGGAGAAAATAAGAAATTGTGGGAACTATGACAAACTGGAGAACACATGCCCCATGTCTAAAGATAACAACTGCTACTTAGCTCCAACTGATCATTGCTTAGTGGAAATACTGGCCAAGTGTTTCCAGATTTTTTAATTTTTTCAAGAGAAGCCAGGAAACCAGATTTTTATGTGAAATTTCCTGAATGTTAAATGTTGGCAGCTAATTCAACCATATGCAACACATCTCTGGCCATACCAAGGCTCATGTTTCACTACGGGAAAACTTTCTTGTAATGAATTGCTTTAGAATGTAGTATTGAGGGGAAAGTTTGTCAGTCTTTATGTATTCCTTCTAGCACAGCGGTAAAAAGTGTGAGCTCTGTAGGCTGATGCCATGGCACTGTAGCCCAGATGACAGAGCAAAACTCTGTCTCAAAAAAAAAAAAAAAAGTGTGAGCTCTCTAATCAGGTATTAACTCCAGTTCTGCTCCTTCCTAGCTATGTGATTATGGGCAAATTACTTTTTCTCTGTAATCCTCATTTTCCTCACCTGCAAAATGAGGTTAGGTGAACAAATTACCTTATAGGTATCTCATGATTTATAATGTAAAGGGCTTAGTGCCTAGACAAGTACCAGTAAATATTAGTTTTTGTTATTCAATAATGAAAATTAAGTAAATTATCACGTTATCCTTTTTCTCTGGCCACAAGAAAGCTCACAGTTAAATTTAATACTCAATCACAGTAACCATAGTAGCTATTGTGTTTGGCATGCTTTGATTTTCTATTTCAATTTTAAAATTTTTATTATACACTTGAATATAGGAAGCTTCAAATTCTTTTTTCTTTCTTTCTTTTTTTTATTTCAGCATATTATGGGGGTACAGATGTTTAGGTTATGTATGTTGCCCTTTTCCCCCCTTCCCCCCCTAAGTCCAAGTTTCAAATTCTTTTTGCAAGGAGGTGGTGTATAAACAACCAAAACTTTAAAAAATAAAAGTTAAGTCCCATGAAATTTTCATGAACAAGATGGAGGAAATTAGGCCATATGGCTATATAATTAGGTGGATTTATAACAGGTTCAATGACTGTACTCAAAAATTATCAATTAATGGGTTGATGTTAACCTGGAGATTAATCTATGCTGCCATGAGGTTTCTGGGCTCAGATTTGTTCTGTTTATTAAATTAGATCAGGAGTCAGCAAACTATGGCCTGCAGCTTAGCTGCTTGTTTTTATGAATAAAGTTTTTTTGGAACACAGCCACACCCATTTCTTTATGATTGGCCTATGGCTGCTTTTGCACTACAACAGCAGAGTTGACTAGCTGTGATAGAGACTATGTGGCCCACAAGCCTAAATAAAATATATACTGTCTTGCCCTTTAATTAAAAGTTTGCTGACCCCTGAATAAGATGAAGACAGGTGCCATACCAAATCTGAAGATGACATAAACTGGAACAGTTAATATATTGCATGATATAATTGAAATTCACAAAGATCAGAACATTGAAAAAATAGGCTGTAACCATTAGGCTGAAACTGGTTTATAAAGTATGGCTATTGGGTATTTAACCATAAACACAGAAGAAATGGAATTCAAGTATTAAGAACAATTGATATTGTAAAGATCTAGTCTTATAAGCCCAGGAAATTAACCATATAATGTAGCTACCAGAAGAGAGCTAATTTAAATATTGCCTGCATTAAAAGAAATATAGGATCTAGAACAGTGCTGCCCAATAGAACTTTCCTGTGATAATGGAAATGTTCTCTATCTATAATGTCCAATAAGGTAGCCATTAGCTACATGTGGCTATTGAGACTTGATATGGGGCTAGTGTAACTGAGGGACTAAATTTTTAATTTTTTAAAATTTTAATTAATTTAAATTTAAATAGCTACATGTGGCTAGTTGCTACCATATTGAACAGTGCAGGTTTAGAACATTTAGAACATGAAAGGTATATACGGTTATTTAGATCACATCTGCAGTATTGTGCTCAGTTCCAGTTGCCAAGCTTACAAACTGGAAGTGACACCCAGGAAGTGACCATATCATAAACAATGTTAGAATGAACTGAGGAAGAGCTATCAAGTTAAAGATTTAGATGTTACCATGTAGCAGAACAAGCAGCCTTAAAAATTAGTGGAAAACATGTATCAATTCTATATAAGGAAGAATTTTCTGTTTCAGCTTTATAAAAATACAATGGGGCTCCCTTTTGCCACGGTATTCCAGGTATTCCAGAAGAGGCTAAATTGCTTCTCATGCAAGAAATCATGGAGAATTCATTTGTCAGGTAGGAGACTAGTCTACAAAAAGGACTGACAAACAATAGCTTGCAGGCCGAATCCAACCAGCTACCTGGTTTTGCAAATAAAGTTTTATTGGAACACAGCCACATTCTTTCATTTATATATTGTCTATGGCTGCTTTCACACTACAATAGCAGAGTTGAGTAGGTATATCAGAGACCTTATGGCTTGCAAAGCCTAAAATATTTACTACATGACCCTTCACAGAAAATGCTTCCTGACCTCTGTTCTAGAATAGTGGTTCTCAGAACCACCTGGATAAACAAAAAAGAACACAGAGACCCGGGCTTGTTGAAGTAAAATAGGGCCTGATCTCTATATTTCTGTCTGGTTCCCCAGTGATTATTTTTTATAACATAACAGTTTTATTGAGGTATAATTCATATACCATATGATTTATACATTTAAAGTACACAATTCAATGGTTCTTAATATATTTTCAGAGTTGTGCAACCATCACTGAATCAATTTTAGAGCATTTTAAACACACCAGAAATAAACCCCTTTGCATTAGCAGTCACTCTTCATTTCCTCTCAAATTCTGCAGCCCTAGACAACCATGATCTACTTTCTGTCTCTATAAATCTTACTGTTCTGGATATATCTTATAAATGGAATCTTACAACATGTAGTTTTTTGTGACCGGCTTCTTTCACTTAGCATGTTTTCAAGGTTTATCCATGTTGTAACATGTATCAGTACTGTTTATTTTCATTGATAAATAATATTCCATGGTATGGATATACCAAATTTTGTTTATCCATTCATCAGTTGATAGACATATGGGTTGTTTACACTCTTTGGCTATTATGAACAATGGTGCTATGAATGTTTAAGTGCAAGTGTTTGTGTGGATATATGCTTTCAGTTCATTTGGGTTTAAACCTGGGCGTGGAATTGCAGGGTCATATGGTAACTCTATATTTAACTTGTTAAGGAACTAACAAATGTTTTCCAAAGAAGCTGCACCATTTTACATTCCCACCAGCAGTGTATGAGGGTTACAATTTCTCCACATCCTTGCCAATATCTGTTATTATCTGCCTTTTTTATTATAATCATCCTAGTGCGTGTGAAGTGGTTTCTAATTGTGGTTTTATTTTTATTTCAGGAAATTATGGGGGTACAAACATTTTGGTTACATGTTATGACTTTGCCACATCCCAGCCATGATTTGAGACGTGCCCTTTCCCCCCGTACAACGCTTACCGCATCCATTAGTTGTGAGTTTACCCACCCCAGGGACAAAAGTCATTGTGGTTTTGATTTGCATTTCCCCAATGGCTAATGATGTTGAGCATCTTTTCAAGTACTTATTCCCCAGTCATTCTAATGACACCAAAGTTTGAGAATCACTAAGAGGTCTATAAAAACTGCAAGGTCCCTTTTGACCTTAATGATCCCATGAAAATAAAGCCAGAAAGGCTACTAATTGCAGAACTGCACCTGTTTATGCCTTCCTATTGTACATGACTCTGGCCTGCAGGTTAATTCTAGCCTAACTCCTATTTTATAAAGCCTCATCTTATTCTTTTTGCATTTATTTCCTTTTTTAAAAATATAAATTTTAAAATTAACTTTACTATTATTTAAGTCATTAAGCAAACAGTTGTAACTTCTAAATTGATCAGCACAATGGCAAACATTGTGCTGTCAGAACATGAGAACATGAGTGTGTGTGTGTGTGTGTGTGTGTGTGTGTGTGTGTATTCAATATGTGTTAATGGAAACCTTACAAAAATGTTAGTCTTTAGAGAAAGGGAAATCAATTCTTCTGTACCTTTCATGATCCATCAGCAGTTTAGCAGTGTTCAGACAGAAGTCTAAAGACATGTCTAGATGTAGTATTTCCATGACAGCTAAAAAAATGAAAAAATGAAGTAGTCATATCAGTTTCATTTTGAGGAAGCTCAGCTATTTTCAATAACTTTCCTCTATTCAAAATCTACTTACTAAATGTTTGCCATATACCATGTTTTGCCTAACAATTGATCAAAATCTTTTTTAAAGTACTAACATCCAATGCTGGAGAGATAGGCAGCACTCTCAGATGGATGGCAAAGTAGCCTGGTGCAATCCTTTTGAAAAGCAATTTGGTCATACTGTATGTTCAGAACACTGTGGTTAAGAGCTTGGAATCTGAAGTCAGATCTAAATTTGAAACCACTTGTCACCTGTATGGCCATAGGCAAATTAATTTTTCTGCATCTTAGTTTTGTCATCTGTAAAATGGAGAATATACCACCAATCTCTCAGGTTTTTTGAGAGGATTACATGAGATAATGTATGGAAAGTACACAGCTAAGCACCTGGCACTTAGTAAGCATTTACTAAATGGCAGCTGCTATTATTATTATTCCCTTTGCTTCAGAAATTTTACTTCTGAAAAGTCATCTGAAATAAATATGAGAAAAGGTTTATGAACAAAGTTATTAAAAGCAGTGTAATTATAATAGCAATAGAAAAGAAAGATACCCTGAGTGTCTAATATAGGGCAGAAATAAACTTATGCAACCATTAAAATTGTTGAGTATGAAATAATATGGAAAAATGAATATGCATAAATATGAAAAATGTTTACAAGGTTGGTAAGTGCAAAATTAGAGAACAAGGTTATATGTACTATATGGTCACAATTCTGTAATATAAGCAAAACAAATGAAGATTAAAAAATACTGAAAGTAAATAATCAAATCTCTAAAAGTGATTGTGTTTAGATTCAATTATTTATTCAACAAATATTTAATGAGTATATTCTCTGTACCAGACACTGTGCTTAGCTCTGGGAACCTAGCAATAAACAAAACACACAAAAATTCTAGCTGTCAAGGAGTTTACATTCTAGTGGATGGTGGGACTCTGAGTATTTTTAGTATTTTCCAAAAATTCCTTTAATGAGTATGTGCTACCCTTTCTCAATGAAAAAATTGTATATTTTTAAATTTTTACTTTTTCTGTTACAAAAAATACCAATGACATTCTAATGCCAGGAGTTAGCTCAACTATTCTAAGCATAAAGTACCTTCACCAGCAAAGAAATGAACAAACTATAAAATTGCAAGTTTCATACATTCTCTCAATACAACAAAATAAAAATCTGTTATTTTAAAATATAAAAAACTTAGATTTGGGGAAGTCTCCTAATTGGTAAAATCAAACAATGACTGACATTGCAACTTCATTACTCTGAATATCAGGAGTAACTAGATTAAGTAAAAAAAAAAATCTAGGATTAAAGAATAATTTCACTTTAAACTCTACTTCTTATCTACATTTGAATGAACGGTGTAATGGGGAATTCTCATCCAAAACTAATCAACTCCAAACTTGGTGACTCCAATAATTGCTCTGATTTTCCTGTATTATATTAGTTTGAGTAAGTGTATTCCTTTAATTGGTTAGGTGATTTGTTTATTCCTCTAATGCAAAAAAGTGGAGCTGTCTGTCTGGTATCTCACATTTTTCAACCTGTGTATGCTGAGGTAATACTGTTGCCTAGAGATGCAGAATCCTCTTATCAGTTTGAGCTTCTGAGGTCTCTTAAGTGATTGGCTAAAATTCTAGAGGTCACAGAAAGATTCAGCAGTATTAAACTAGCACTAAATTTAGGGCTACTGCCAAATTTGATTGTTATCCTAATTACTACAAATTGCTAATATTTATTGGATAATCAGTAATTATATTATACTAACATAATTTTGTATAGTACAAATAATACAGCTCTCAAAGATTACTAATGTACTAAAGCATGTACACATTAGAAGAATTTAGAGTAAATTATGTTTATGACTAAACAAAATTGAAACACTGTTAAGGACTAGTGTGCATAGAGATTTTTGCCTCAATGCATCTATATCATAGTAATAATAGTAATAATAATAACTACGGTAATAGATAATATGTATTGCACACTAACTATGTACTAGGTATGGTGCTAAATGCTTTATATACATTTTCTCAAAAGATTCTCAAAACAACACAATGAGGTAGATATTGTTGTTATTTTGTTATATCTCTTTTAAAGATGAAGAAACGAAGCATAGAAAAGTTAAGTAACTTGTCCAATGACCCACAGCTATACATCAGTATGTTTGTTTTGTGCTTTGTACATTCTAGTCCCTTGAGAATTATGAAAAACAAATAGCAATGTTTATACAAGTAATTGTAAAAAGCATGGCACTATTTTTAGCACTTTTTAAATTTGCTACTATTTTTTCTCCTTTCTCTCTTTCTTCCTGGCTGACAATCTTTTCCCTTTCCTATGTGATCCATTTCCCTCTCAGCCACTATCAAATTATACTTATTTTTAGTATACTACAAAAGATCTTATATTCAACAAATTGGTGTTGAGATTTCAAAATTGTGTGCTCTTCACACAGAAATGATACCTCCAAGGAGTTCTTCATTAGCTGTTTCACCTTTCAAGAGGATTTTCATCTTTAAGAAAAGCCCAGCAGGATTTAAATGTTCCTATTTCAAACAAATAAATCACAGTGATATTAAAATTATGTAATGTAAAAGACAATATTCAAGTAATTGCCTGTTTTATTCAACTGCTTCATAATGACTCATGATCAAAGGAAATCAAAAGTATAAAATATCATATCATGAAATCCAGACTATGCCTAAGGATATTTTCTGGTATTTTATTCAATCTAAATGAAATAATACGAGGAAAGAACATGTAAACATTTCCACTGAGTGACAAAATTTAATGACAAGGTCAATACTTAAAACTATATGATTCTGAGGCCATATTATTGGTAAGCAAAACCCCAAACATCAGTTAGACTTATTTTCTTTTGAGGTTTTAATAACAACTAAGGTCCTTTGCAAACAATGGTAGAATAAATAGAAAATGTATTATCTTTTCTATAGACTATATCTATCATGTCTACCATTAATAACAATGAACAGTGTGCTCTGAATGATGTTTCTAAGTCATCGTTAGCTTGCTCTAAGCCATCTGTTATCTCTTGCCCATTTCCATTTTTGCCTGACAGGGTACATCTTTAAACAGCTGGCTAAGATTAAAAATTCAGTCCAGGCCCACAAAACAGAACTTTTCTCTCTACAAAGCCAATTAGCCTCTACACAAACATTGTACTCATTAGCTCCATACTCTGCAAATAATTACAGCTATTCATGTGTGAGATGCTTTAAAAATGGAAAGTTAGAGAAAGTAAGCACTGACATTAAAAGAGTTTGCAAATATAAATGACACCAATACAAAGAATAAAAATTAAATTTGTCAATTTTAATTTATTGTATTACCACCTTTCCTACAGGCACATCAAAATATGTATTGGGTTCAATTACCTTTTATCTTCAGAGATGTATAAGTCTTCCAGATCTTGGCAGCATCTGTTTCCCTTGAGACTGCTATTCTCACACAAGTTAACTTTCTGTTTTGCTCTTTGATTTCTTTACCAAACTCCAGAGAATGGCTCTCTGTATCATGTTCCTTCTATTGTATCATCATGTCTTCGCTTCTATAAACATTTGCACTGTATTGTCCATCATTACTGTGACTTGAAACTACACTTTTAGAAGGCATGAAGGATTGCCTGTTAAATCCATCAGCTTTCTCCCTATTATCAAGATCCTTGTCTTCTCTATAACTTTTCTCACTATTGTTTCTCATTCTTCTACTCTTCTTCCTTACATTTTTGTTCGCTTTTTTTAAAAACCAGTTATTGAGAAACAAGCTCCAGGTACAACAAACATACAAAGTAAGTATTGTGAATCTTGTATTGCAGATGAGGAATCTGAGGCCCAGATGAAATCAAGTAACTTACCATGGTCACACGGCTGGTAAATGGCAGGGCTTAAACTTGAATTCATATCTCTTTGACTCTAAAGGACACTATAATATGCTATCTCCCTTGAAGCTTGGTCCATCCTGGGCCTACATATTACTACACTGTCTGGATCTCCTGCAAGCTCTAAAGATAATGTATCCATTTTTAGTGTGAAGTGTATCATACACATATACACACCCACATAAGTATATAAAACATATGCATATAGTTTAGAGAATAATGAAACGAACACCCATGTACTCACTATCCAGGTTAAGAAACAGAACATTATCACCACATTAGAAGCCTCCAACGTGCCTTTGGCACATTTGTATCCTCCTCACTTCTCCACAGAGGTAAATACCACCCTGAATTTTGGTGTTTTATTGTGGGGGGTGCAGGGGTGTCTCACTATATTGCACAGGCTGGTCTTGAACTCCTGGGCTTAAGCAATCCTCCTGCATCAGCCTCCTGAGTAGGTGGAACTATAGCCATGAGCCACCACAACCACCACTCTGAATTTTGTGCAGTAATTCCCTTGCTTTTCTTCATAGATATATAATATATTGTTGCTATGGACTAAGTGGTTCTGTCCCTCCAAAATTCGTATGTTGAAGCCCTAATCCCAATGTGACGGTACTTGGAGGTGGGGCTTTTGAGAGGTAATTTAGTTATGAGAGTAGAGCCCCCATGAATGGGATAAGTAGCCTTTATAAAAAAAGACATGAGAGAGATGATCTTTCTCTCTCTCTCCCTGCCAAGTAAGGATACAGCAAGAAGGTAGCCATCTTCAAATCAGGAAGAGAAACCTCACCAGGAACCAAAAAGGCCAGCATCTTGATCTTGGACTTCCCAGCCCCTAGGTGGTAATAAATAAACTTCTACTGTTTAAGCCACCCAATTTATAATATTTTGTTGTGACAGCTCAAGCTAAGACAACTATTTAGTTTTGCCTATATTTCAAATTCACTTAAACAGAATCACAATGTAGAGAAGTTCTTCTGTGACTGCTTCTTTCATTGAAATCATGTTTTCCAGATTCATCCATGTTAATATATGAAACTAATTTATTTTTTTCATTACTATATAGCATGGTTCTCAAAGAGTGGTCCTTGAACCAGTATCACCTGGGAACTTGTTAGAAATGCAAGCCCCGTCCCAAACCTACTGAATGAGAAACTCTGGTAGTGCTGTCCAGCAAATTGTGTGTATGTATATATGTGTGTATGTGTGTGTTTAAAAATATATAAAATCATTATTATTGATTTGCATTGTGAAAAATTTCCATTTCAACATAAATTCTAGTCTCTGTTCAGTAAGATAATAAATGAGCAAACTGTTTTAATGGGTACACTAGGTGATACTTATACAAGCTAAAGTTTGAGAACAATGACTGTTGTAGAAATATATCACAATTGACTCATTATACTTTGGACATTTGAGTCATTTCCAACTCAATTGCTATTATGAGCAATCCTGACATCAGTATTCTGTACACCTCTCCTACTAAACAAATGCTAGAGCTTCTCCAAAATATATACTTAGCAGCAAAGTTGCTGGGTGATCAGTATGATCAAGTTCAATTTTATCAAGTAATGTCAAACTGTTATCCAAAGTAGTTGTACAATTCTTAAAAAACTAGGAATGAAGGGAGCTTCCTAAGCCTGATAAAGGACATCTATGAAGAACCCACAACTAACATCATACTTAATGGTGAAATACCAAAAGCTCTCCCCCTAAGATCAAAACAAGAAAAAAGAATGTCTGCTCTTGCCACTTCTATTCAACATTCTAATGGATATTCTTGCCAGAAAAATTATAAAACAAAAAGAGATAAAAGGCATCCAGACTGGAAAGGAAGAAGTAAAACTGTCTCTTTTTACAGATGATATGATCTGTAAAATCATATATAGAAAATCTTAAGGAAGCCAGTAAAAATGTATGAAAACTAAAAAAAACAAGTTCAGCAAAGTTATAGGATCTACCACCAATATTTTAAAAATCAACTGTATTTCTATATACTAGCAATGAACAATCTAAAAGTGAAGTTAAGAAAATAATTTCATTTACAAAAGCATAAAAAGAAATAAAATACATAGCAATAAATTTAACAAAAGAAAGGCAACACTTGTTTACTGAAAACTACAAAACATTGGTAAAACAAATTAAATAAGTCCTAAATGAATGTTCCTGGATTTGAAAACTTAATATTGTTAAGATGGCAACAATCCCCAAATTGATCTACAGATTCAACAAACTGCCTATCAAATTCTAGCTGGCTTCTTTGCAGAAATCAACAAGCTGATCTCAAAATAGGAAAATGCAAGAAATCCAGAAAAGCCAAAACAATCCCAAAAAAGAACTAAGTTGGAGAGCCATACTAGCAGGTGTGAAGTGGTTTCTCATTGTGCTTTTAATTTGCATTCCCTGATAACTAATGATGTTGAGCATCTTTTCATGCACTTATTGGCTGTGGCATGTATTCTTTGGAGAAATATCTATTCAGATTCTTTGCCCATTTTCTGTTAGGTTGTTTGTCTTCTTATTATTGAATAGTAAGAGTTCTTTCTATATTCTGGATAATGGATACTCACCAGATATATGATTTGCAAATATTTTCTCCCATTCTTTTGGGAGGATCCCATGGATTGTACTTTCACTTTCTTGAGAGTTTCCTTTGAAGCAAACAATTATAATTGTAATGAAGCCTAATTTTACCCAATTTTTCTTTTTTCTTTTTGGTGTTGTATCTAAGCGCCCAGATCTTTTTTTTTTTTTTTTTTAAGACAGAGTCTTGCTCTGTCCTCCCAGTAGAATGCAGTGACATCATCCTAGCTCACTGCAATCTCAAACTCCTGGGCTCAAGCAATCCTCCTGCCTTAGCCTCCCGTGTAGGTGGGATTATAGGCATGTACCACTTTGCTCAGGTAATTTTTTAATTTTTTGTTTTTTTGTAGAGACAGGGTCTTGCTATGTTACTCAGGCTGGTCACAAACTCCTGGCCTCAAGTAATCCTCCTCCCTTGGCCTCCCAAAGTGCTGGGACTATAGGCATGAGCCACTGTGCCCAGCCTCTATGTATTTTTAATGGTAATGAAAGAAACTAACTATGAAAATATGTTTGATGAATGTAAAACTTTATCAAGAAATATGACTATTCTTCCAGAAATAAAGAAAAAAGGAAAGTAAATAAATTTGAAATGTACAAATTACCAGATGAGAATATCAATTATTATTCAGAAAATGTATATCAAATAGATATTAAGGAAATTATAAATGTCCAAATTTCACATTTCAAATGGAAACACGAAAAATTAAATGAAGTACTCTCACAATTCTCATTTTTAAACAGAGAAAAGTTATCTTCTATGAACATTTCTGACTGACAAAAAGCAGCCAATAACTTGGTTCATAAATATTCTGATACATGAAGTCCTATAGAAATTTCATCTGTTTCAACTTTTGGTAACATTCCAAATCAATAATTTGTAATATAAAATGGGCATCATATATGGATATTCTAAAACTGATTCATGAATTTGCTTAGTGCAATCTTATCCAAATTTGGAAGTAGACTTGAGAATTTTTCTAACAATACCAGTCACAGTGGCATCATGTGAAAGAAGTTTCAGTAAGCAAAAATTAATTTAAGATTGTGCTTTACCCATTA